TTTTTCTGGTTTTCTGGTTAGCTAGCGTATTTGGACCAAAGGCTTCCACATCCCGCTGAAAATTTTCTTGAGATCATGAAAGAGCTGATAACATCATAAGGAAAGACAAGGTCAGAATTCAGTGAAAGCAGGAACCCAGAAGGAGAGGGAGCCCTGAAGCCCTTTGCGCCGAGGGCGTTTGCTGAGCCCTTGAAGTTGGGCTTTGGTCTAGCTGGCCTGGTAGAGTCTGAGAGCAGAGACCAAGGCCCTGAGCACGCCAGGCATGCAGTCTGACCATAAGAAGGGTACGGAGTCAAAGGGCTTCCCTTGCACTAAGAGTGAATGGGAAGCAGCCCCCACTGCCCACCTCCCCAGGGGACTTGTAGGAAAGCTGCCTCAGTGGCACACAGGAGAACTGAGTTGTCACCACAAGTTAGCAAGGCTACAACAGCTGGTGGTTAAACAGCCTCACCCTTGAAATGAGATGAAAGTGGTTCCAAACTGGCAGTGTTCTCCCTGCAGCATGTGCCAGTGGGTCCTGGCCAATTACTTCCCAGGACTCTGAGAAGCCCCAGGCTATTTTCCAAGGCAATGGAGTGTGAAGCAGGCTCACTCTGCAATGGTTACCAGCCCCTCTGAGCCCAGCAAAACAGAACACCCCCCACACAAATTACATGAAGTAGGTAATTGCTTATAGGTAGGTAGCAGAGGACAATAGACCCCTAGGGTGCAGGGGGAGCTGGTCCCCAAGGCTCAGGAAGGTTGTCTGGAGCAGATGGAGTTTCACCTGCATATGACCCCTTGCACTGCAGCTGAGGGAACCCAGAAAGCCGCCCACTCTGGGTTTTATACTCCAAGGTCATGTGATCGGTGGGCAAAAGCATTGAGGGACATCTGTTTCTGGGGTGAGAGAGGCAGCAGAACAGAGCCGAGACTGTTCCGGTCAGCTCCTGTGTATCTCAAGATGTTGTATTCCCAGCATGTTTTACCGTTCTTCTTGAGAATTACAAGCAAGAATTGGGGGGCGGGAGGGCTGGGTCGGTCCAAGGTCACCTGGAGAACCGCTGTATGTAGAGCAGCTCACAGTAAAAAATAAACAAGCACTCAAGGAAAGAGAGCACTTGGCATGGGAGCCAGCAGAATTAACAAGAACAGAAATAGAAACAGAAAACCTTCGGCTACTGGAACACAAAAGCATGAATAATATAACCACTACAATTACTGCGTTTAAATAATATGCCTCAGACTTAGCAGTACAAGGCTGAAAGCTTCCCTCTGGGGTTGGTAATGAGACAACGATGCCTGCCATCACGCCTCTATTCAACATTCTCCTGGAGACTTTCCCTATGCAGTAAGTCATGAAAAAGAAATAAGGGAGACAAGGATTAGAAGGATAGAGAGCTAAGATCCTTTGCAGATATACGGAAAATCTAAATGAGCACCAGATAAATCAAGAAAATAATATGAAAGGCTACTAAAGTTGCCGGGTACAAAACAAAACACAAAAGTGAATTACCTAGTGGTGATGGGTGCCGAACATCGTGAACATGCTAAATGCTGCTAAATTGCACACTTTTAACTAATTACAATGGTCAGTTTGATGTGATGTGTATTTTAGCACACCAAAAAGTAAATTGCAAATCTATATACAGAGGAAGAAATAAAATAATACATTTAAGACAGCATAAACTATCACACACTAAAAATTAATAAAACACGGGCATGCCGGTGAAGAAATTACAAAGAGACATCAAATAAGACAAAAAAAAGAGCAGTGCTAACACTATAAGGACTGTTCTCCCTAATCAATCTAAATGACCAATACAATTCCGTGTGTGTGTGTGTGTGTGTGTGTGTGTGCGCGCGCGCATGTGCTTGCATGCACATGTGCACAGGCATGAAAGTTGCCAAGTTGATTCTAAAAGGCATATGGACGTGCAATGGGTTGAGGACACTCTTTAAGAAGAATAAGGTGAGAGGACATCTACCAGTTATAAAGACTCCTGATAAATCTATGGAAATTAAGGAAATATAACAAAACAGAGTCCAGAGACAAACCCATCCAGACATGGGCATCTGATCCATGACAGAGGGGCCTTGGTGACCAGTCCAGGAAGGAAAGGTGTTTTAATAAGAGACACAGAGACAGGAAAAAAAATATCAAACCTGAAACAAAAATCAATTCCTGTTGGATTTGATTTTCCATCAAATTATACGTGAATGTGAGGAACAAAACTACAAAGCCTTACAATATAAGGTACTCTCTTTATGACCTCAGGGTAGGATAGAATTTCTAGAACAAGATTTAAAAAAAGCATTAACCAAGAAAAATTCAGTAATTGTGGTTATTCTAAAATCCAAATTTCCTGTTCATTAAACGACACCGTGAAGAGAGTAAGATGGCAAGCCCGCAGTTTTATAACCCTAGTTTCACTACTTATCAGCTTTGCGATGTTAGGTAAAGACAGCCCCTGATCTCAGTAAATTACAGATCACAGTATTTATCTTGCAGTGTTTTTTTTTTTTTTTTTCTTCTTGAATCGGAGTCTCACTCTGTTGCCCAGGCTGGAGTGCTGTGGCAAGCTCATGGCCACTGCAACCTCGATCTACTGGACTCGGGCAATTCTTCTGCCTCAGCCTTCCAAGTAACTGGAACTAGAGACATGCACTACCATGCCCAGCATATCTTTTTTTTATCTGTTGTAGAGAGAAGGTCTCACCCAGTTGCCCAGGCTGGTCTCGAACCCCTGAGCTCAAACAATCCGCTCACCTCGGCCTCCCAAAGTGCTGGGATTACAGACCTGAGCCACTGCGCCTGACCTGCAGTTATTTTTGAAGAAGAAAGATGAACAGTGCATAGCATTGTGTAGCATAGAGCCAGCACTCAATAAATCCCTTCCTCCGAGAGGAAGTTGTGTGTCTTTCTTCGCCTTATGGTGTCTTGGGCCGACAGGCAGCCACCGAGTGTCACCCTCCAGTCCTAATGAACTAATCCCTTCCCACGTACTCTCCCTCCACTCACTATCTTCACAGCATGAGAAGTGGACCACTCGGCCACAGAGAGGGTCAAGGGGCCTTTTGCGGCCCTCCCGGCACGCTACCGCATCTGTGTTCCTTTCCCTCAAGTCAACAACCCTGCTGACGTGTGTTCCCATGTGCAGCTTTAACAGGCAGCTGTTTGGTTAATGGGGCTGCCCAGGCAGAGGCTGAGACCATGAGCACAATGAAGTTTGTCAATGATTAAATAAACAGCCATCACAGACACACTACCGGTGTGGTTGTGGGCGATCATTTCTCAGTCATCAAAATGAAAAGGAAAGGCTTTGCAAGAATACTACAGGAGGGACTGCTGTGAAGAACTGTGCTAAGACATTGTGGATTCTCAAGAGTAATCACAGTAATGATAGTTTTCCTGGGGTCTGAGAGCCAGCTCCAAACTGTTTGCAATGATTTGGCTTCCCAAAGCTGATTCCCCACAAATTAGATTCAGACTCTTTACATGTGTTGATGCTGCTGGGGGTTAATTATGACTGTGAATATTCATAATAGTCATAATACCCTCGGATCTTGTATCTGCAATGGAAATAACTAAGCTGGGAAATAGAACGGATTTCCAAGGTTAAAAACAGCAACTCACTTTCCAGGAGGGATTCACTTCCTTACCTGTTGTCCAAACAAACCCCATGTTTAAAAACCTCTACAAAACTTCAACAGTTGTCTCTGAAGATCCCAATGCTTGACTGCTTTATTATGCAACACATAAATATAGCTCTTGTTCAGGTATTTTTATGGTGATAATTCTAGCATACACATTTGTATCACAAAGATAGTTTGCCTTAGTTCAAAATAGATTTTACCATCTGGATGGAAAGAGTCTAGAAATCAGGAGAAGCAGAAGGTCAGCCGAAATAACTCGGATCTCATTCTAAAGAAGAATGGAGGATGAAGAGAGCTTTGTGCAAAATACTTTAAGGGATGTCACTGCTTAAGGGAGACGGGTTTGGTCCTGAGGGGCTCCCGGGGCCCAGCCAGGATTTTCACTTAGGAATCAGAGGGAGGTTTTCTAACCATGGGGAATACTGAGGATGGGATGAATATGCTCTTGAGAGGGCAAGTGTCCTGTCGGGAAAGAAATTTCAGCAAAAGCCAGAAAATGACCACAGGAAGATTGACAGGAAGGCACATGATGGGGATCCTGGACCCCTGAGGAGTTTACGAAATGGCATGTGCGTCATTAAAGGAAGCAGTGAAAGTCACAGCACGAACAGGACTCCTCAGAGCTATTCCAATGTGTCATGGCTCCATGCCTTCAGGACAATCCAAATTTATGTCTACCTCAGTTTCCCCAACTGGAAACTGAGCATAAAGATAACAAGGGTTAAAAGTGGGAATATGGTCAGACGCGGTGGCTCAAGCCTGTAATCCCAGCACTTTGGGAGACCGAGGCGAGAGGGTTGCCTGAGCTCGTGGGTTCAAGACCAGCCCTGGCAACATGGTGAAAACTTGTCTCTAAAATAATTTTTTAAAAAATTAGCCAGGTATGGTAGCACGTGCCTGTAGTTCTGGCTACTTGGAAGACTGAGGCGGAAGGACTGCCTGAACCCAGCAGGTCAACGCTGAAGTGGCCATGAGTGTGCCACTGCATTCCAGCCTGAGCAATGGAGTGAGATTCCAACTCGAAAAAAAAAAAAGTGCAAATATGAGTCGAGCACATGGGGTAGTGCCTAACACAAAGCAAGCATTGTGAATGATGGCAGTCAGTGTTGGTATTACCTGACTTCATCTAATTATCACAAGGCACTGGAACCTACATGTACACGGATTTGTTTTTACAGAAATCAGGAGCCCTAGAAATCAAGAGTCTAAGGTTTGGGGAACAAAAGTTAACATTTATGGTATGAGTCATCTCAAAACTTTAAATAATCATATAATTTTGGAAGCTGTATTCTAACCAACATATGACAATGGAGAGACCAACATAATACAGCTAAGGACAGACCAGGGGGTGAGGGGGGTGGTACCTTGCGTTGGTTTGTTCTCTGCTGCTATCTGAGGTAGTTTTCATAGACTTGAATGTTCGTCGACCACCTGTGATTACTTCTTCTACCTAAAATAAAAATATAACACACACCAAGTGGTGCATTACTCCCTGGTGTACCTTTAAAAATATATATATTATATATTTTAAAGGATGCTAAAACATTTTAAAATTTTTTCTCTGCATATTCCATAAGAGAATCACACATTAAGCCCCTTAATGTGGTGTAAAGAATTTTATATCACCAACTGTATCTGTTCACAAAAGTCTTGCAAAATCTTTATAAGCTAGCTCACGATGGCCAAAGGCCAAGCACGGGGATTTGGTAAATTAATTTATTTAGCAAATATTATCTGAGAGCCAACAACATGCCAGACACTTTTGGGGGCTATTGGGTATATGGATGTGAGGCACGCCCAGTGAAATGTGCTGCTCGAATTCCCATTTGCCCAGCTCCCTGGGTCTGGGTTTCTTCCTCTGTAAAATGAAGGAATCAGCTTATTACCTCAAAGGTCCCTTCTTGGTCTGAAGCATTCTGTAGTTCTATTGCTTTTTTAAACTTAATAAGCTCAGTGCTAAGCATGCCGAGTTCTCAGTAGATAAAACTGATGCCATTTAACAAACATACTGCAATGATTATTCAAATCTAGCACCTCCCCTCAAAAAGCTCCTAAGGTATCAGAGTGGAGGGAGAAGAGGACCTGCCTATCTTAACCTGTATTTTACATATTTTATTTACTCTCCCCCCGTCCCTCCAACACTTCTATGAGACAGGGATTGTTCATAGGGAAAGATTAAAAAAAAAAATGGAAACCTCTCCTCGTGCTGCCTGGGTCCAGTGACCTCATCAGGTCCTTCTCTGTGGCAGGGAGGTGACACATCCACTGCTGCATCTCCCTGTTGGGCAGGGTCACTGCTCTAAAGGGTGGGGAGTCATTTGCAACCCTTTTTCTGCTCTGCCTGAGACTTGGTGTGTCACACAGCTGGGATCCATGTCCATGCAACTGACTAGGAAGAAAGACTAGGCTTGGAGTTTGAGGGTCTTTTATCACCTAGCTCCCCTCTGCTGGCTCAAGCGAATATGCTGACCCCACAGTCTCTATTTGGAAAGAGAGTCTGGAACACTAGTTCAGCCTCAACTCTCAGCCCTATTCTCCAATCCAGGCTTCACTAGAAATGGAAGACTGGGCACCTAATACGATGATCATGTGGGTAATTGTTGCCCATTTGACAAGGATTCCTGGTCGTATGCTCCACTGGCCAGAACCCCAAAGGCTTAGCCCACTGTTGGTCATGTGTATTCCTCAATAAATAAATGATGGATGAACCAATGAAGGAATGAATACTAGTCTGACTGCAGCATCGACTTGGGGACTGCTGGATGGCAGTCTCTCTTCTATGTGCCCATCATGTGGTGGTACAAGACCAGTTTTTTACATAGTGCGGTTGTACAGTTTTCTGTATTTTATCAACATGCAACATGTGCGTATATGTATGATTTAGTGGTGCTCTCTCTCACAGCACATTTGCATAAGAGATGTATCTTTCTCTTCCCATAAACCTCATGGGAGGCCCTATGTGCAATGCAGACAGAAAGATCTGCTTTACTGGTAACCTTTAACACCAGACTGTAGGGGTCTATTCATGTCGTTTGCCTGCTTTTCAATGGGATTATTTGCTTTCTCCTTGCTGATTTGTTTGAGCTCTTTGTAGATTCTGTGTATTAGTCCTTTGGTAAATGGATAGTATGTGAATATCTTCTCCCATTCTGTAGGTTGCCTGTTTGTTCTGTTGATTATTTCTTTTACTATGCAGAAGTTTTCAGTTTAATCAAGGTCCATTTATGCATTTTTTTGTTTTAGTTGCATTTGCTTTTGAGGTTTTAGCCATAAATGTCCTTAAGAGTTTTTCTTAGGTTTTCTTCTAGGATTTTTTATGGTTTCAGGGCTGACATTTAAGTCTTTAATCCATCTTGAGTTAATTTTTGTATATGGGGAGATATAGGGATTGGGTTACATTTTTTCTGCATGTAGCTATTCAATTTTCCCAGCACCATGTGTTGAATAGGGTGTCCCTTCCCCAGTGCATGTTTTTGTCTGCTTTGTCAAAGATCAGTTGGTTGTAGGTATTTGGGTTTATTTCTGGATTCTCTATTCTGTTCTGTTCTGCTCTTGTACCAGCATCATGCTGTTTCAGTTACTACAGCCCTGTAGTATAATTTGAAGTCAGGTAATGGGATGCTTCCAGCTTTGTTTTTTACTTAGGATTGCTTTGGCTCTTCTAGCTCTTTTTTTATTGCATATGAATTTTAGGATTTTTTTTTCTAATTCTGTGAAAAATGACGTTAGTAGTTTGGTAGGGATTGCATTGAATCTGTAGATTACTTTGGGTAATATGGTCCTTTTAATAATGTTGATTCTTCCAATCCACGAGCATGGGAGGTTTCCCTATGTCTTCTGCAATTTCTTTCATCCGAGTTTTGTAGTTTTCCTTGTAGACCTCTTTCACCTCCTTGGTAAAATATATTCTTAGCTATTTTAGCTTTGGGGCTGCTATTATACATGGAACTGAGTTCTTGATTTGATTCTCAGTTTGGTCCCTATTGATGTATAGCAGTGCTATCGATTTGTGTGTGTTGATTTTATGTACTGATACTTTACCAAATTTATTTATCAAGTCTAGGGGACTTTTGAAGGAGTCTTTAGGGTACTCTAGGTATAAGATTATATCATCAGCCTATAGAGATAGTGTTATTTCTTCTTTTCCAATTTAGATACCCTTTGTTTCTTTTTCTTGCCTGATTGCTCTGGCTAGGACTTCCAGTACTATGTTGAACAGTGGTGGCTAAAGTGGGCACCCTTGCCTTATTCCAGTTCTGAGGGGAATACCTTCAACTTTTCTTCATTCAAGATGACATCGGCTGTGGGTTTGTCATATATAGCTTTTATTATATTGAGGAATGTTTACTCCATGCCTATTTTGCTGAGGGTTTCTATCATGAAGGGATGCTGGATTTTATCAAATTCTTTTTTTGCGTCTATTGAAATGATCATATGATTTTTGTTTTTAATTCTGTTTATGTAGTGGATCACATTTATTATTGAGTTACATATGTTGAACCACCCTTGCATCCCTGAGATAAAATCCACTTGGTCGTGGTGTATTTTTTTTTTTAATGTGCTGTTGAATTCAGTTTGCTGATATTTCATTGAGGATTTTTGCTTCTGTGTTTATAAAGGATATTGGCTACGGTTTTCTTTTTCCATTATGTCATTTCCTGGCTTTGGTATCAAAGTGATACTGGTCTCAAAGAATGAGTGAGGGAGGACTCCCTCATCTTCAGTCTTGTGGAATAGTTTCAGTAAAACCGGTACCTGTCCTTCTTTGAAAGTCTGGTAGATTTCAGCTGTGAATCTATCAGGTCCTGGACTTTTATTGTTGGGAGACTTTTAATTACTGTTTCAATCTTGCTACTTGTTATTGGTCTGTTCAGAGTCTCTATTTCTTCCTGATTCAAGGTTGGGGGGTTGTACGTTTCCAAGAATTGATCCACTTCCTCTACATTGTCAAGTTTGTTTGCATAGAGGGTTCATAATAGTCGTGGATGAACTTTTGCATTTCCTTCATATCAGTTGTAATGTTTCCTTTTTCATTTTGGATTGAGCTAATTTGAGTCTTCTCTCTGCTTCTTAATTAATCTAACTAGTGGTCTATCAATTTTGTTTATCTTTTAAAAGAATCAACTTTTTGTTTCATTGATCAATTCTTTGTATGTTTTTTTAATTCCAATTTCACTTAGTTCTGCTCAGATCTTCATTACTTCTTTTCTTCTGCTAGCTTTGATTTTGGTTTTTTCATGCTTTTCTAGTTCCTTGAGGCATGATGTTAGGTTGTCAATATGTGATCTTTCAGTCATATTAATGTAGGCCTCAAGCACTATAAATTTTTCCCTGAGCACAGCTTTGGCTGTGTTCCAGAGGTTTTCATAACTTATTTCACTGCTGTCATTCATTTCAACGAATTTTTTTAATTTCAATCTTTATTTTATTGTTGACCCAAGGATCATTCAGGAATAAATTATTTAATTTCCATATCTTTGTTTGGTTTTGTAAATTCTTCTTGGAGTTAATTTCTAGTGTTATTCCACTGTGGTCTGAGATGGTACTTGACATGACTTCAATTTTTTTGAATTTATTGAGACTCGATTTGTGGCCTACAAGGCAATGTTCATTGAATAACTAAAGATGGTGACTTGAAAAGGGTCGCCAGATGGAATAGGTTTTTATTATCAAACATGATTTGTTTTGGATAGGCTAAAATATTTTATTTGCTATGTTTTAAAATATACTTAATATGATAATTCTATTGTTTTCCATTAATTATTTACTGGCCAATATTGTCATATTTGTGGACATTAATGTGGCAAAGGATGAATCTTCACACTGTTTTCATATAAAAACAACTGGTTTTCTTTCTTTAACTGGACTAGTGAGATGAATACAAATATTTCATCATATTCTTGCCTACCCTTAAGGAAGCATGAACACTTTTCAAACTGCTATTGCTTCCAGTTATAGCTTACTAAGTCAGATTAATGTCAATTGTAACTTTAAAAAAAAACAGAATTCAGAAGAGAGCCTAAAAAAGAGTTTCCCTTCAGTTTTAGGGGAGGAGAGAGAAGCTGCGGTGTTAGGGTAATGAGAACTAGCACCTCCTCCTGGCAATGTCTCAGAAAGGCAGCAAAACCTCTGAGAGACATGACTGTGTAGTATGTGGAGTAGTGCTATCCAACAAAATTTTCTGAAATTCTATTTTATCCTACATTTCCAAGTATCCCAATATTTCTGATAGAAATGTTCTATGCTATCCAAAACAATAGCCACCAGCCATATGTGGCTACTGAGAATTTGAAATGTGGTTAATGCAACTGAAAACTAAAGTTTTAATTGTACTGAATTTTAATTAATTTTCATTTCTGTCTCACCATAGATAAGAACATGACTAGAGTCAGTCCCTAACCCATCTGTGTTGGTCAGCAGTGGGATACCTGGATTCTTCTTCAGGTGTGA